AGTACCTGCAAAACACAGGGCACTTTGCACTGCACTTGCTCAGAGTTCTTGTCTGAAAGGCTTGAGCACAGCAGCAGTGGCTGCCTGAGACAGAGCTAGGGTCCAGTTATTCCTACTCTTGAGAGTTCCCTCATCAGCTTGTCTATATCTGCACCATAACAGCTTTCCTCTGAGCCCTTCACACTTACCTCTTTTTCCTTTCTGAAAACCCCTCAATTGCCAAGTTATCTTTGTCTGTCCTTCTGCCCTTGGTGCATTTGCTCACAGACCTCCTGTTCTCAAGGCACTCTAAACTGTTTTTTTTTCACCCTAGAACTTTTTGCAAAGCCATCAAGCTCCTTAGTAAATACTTGATTTAAAAAAAACAAACATTATCAAGACAGTCATTTGCAGCATGACTTTTGTTTCTCTCCCAGGCCTCAGCCCTACCGGGCACTGAAGGAGTCTGATAGTGCTGACGGGGAGGAGGCAGTGAGTCCAGGGAAACCAAACGAGGCTTTGCCTCCCAGCCCCCTGCTCTCAAGCAGGGACACAGAAATCAACCTCCTTGAAGACATTTTCCCCAGCTTAGAAGTTGAAACACAACCTCAGCCTCTCAGCCAAGCAAAGAGCCTCGAAGACCTGCGGACTCCCAAAGAAGAGGGAGATCAGCTATGCACGTTTGATTACCAGGTTTGGGCAGGGGGTTGTGTCTGCAGGGGGTGGCACACAGCCAGGCCTGGCTGTCTTCCATTATTCTCCCAGGAACATTCTGGTATTATTGGGTAGGTGCATCCGTTTTCCAGCCATTTGTTTATGCATTTCAACGTTCATTTCCAAGTTAAGAAATTATCAGCATTGGGACTCAGATGTTAAGACAGTAACTTTTTCCACTAAAACTATAGTCTCTACTTGTAAAGGATGAAGTATTTACCCTGTTCTCAGAATCTGTTCTGTTAATTGGCTGTCACACAGAGTTACCTTTGAAGCTGATGCTCAGCAGTGAGAATGAGTATCTGGGAATTTTCAGGTCCTCTCCAAACTGCTTCTTTTTTAAACGACCTTCTTTTAATCTGGCCATCTTGGTCCAGGTGTCACTTAAACTATCTAGGTTGTAGAAGAGAGATTCTTTATAAGGAACTTCACTGAATAGATGCAGCTTAGAAGGTACCAAACTAAAGCAGGCTCTGAAATTTTCATGTGACATGAAATAAAATAAGGTCATTTTTACGTTATAATAATATTTAATTTAGCGTTATATCCAGGTATTTCGTTTGACAGCTTTTTCTGTACAGCAATTAAGGCTTCTCAGTTTCTGTCCTTTAGATAGAAGTATGTGCTCCTGACTTGGCTAACAACAGATCAGTGTCACAGCTGAACCTTGTTAGAGGCAGAGCTGGGATTCAAACCACAGAGTTCTGCTGCTGTTGTCCCATCTGTCCATCTAGGCTGCAGGCTGTTGTCCCTCCAGTGTTCCCAGCCTGTGGACAGGTCCTATCCCCACTCATAGCTCATCAGCCTGTCTTCACTTTGTGCTTTGTGTTGTGAGGAGATCAGTGCAAGTTAAGATTTTTTTTTTAATGCTTTCTTGCAGAGAATGGATCTTGGTGCATCTGAGAGGAACAGGATTGTGCCAACCATGAAGCTGTCTCACCCTTACAACAAGCTGTGGAGTATGGGTCATGATGACATGGCTATTCCTACCAAATATTCCCAAAGCTCACCAGAAAGGCCCTTGACTGCACTTGGTAACATACCAGCCATCACGAGGAGACCCCAGAGCAGAGACAGCATTCTGGCTCCTGCAGAAAAGGATGAATCAAATCCTGCCATTCAAGGGAATATCACCATTCCTAGGCCACAGGGAAGAAAGACTCCTGAACTGGGGATAGTGCCACCACCACCAGCACCCAGGGCTTCCAAGCATCAGACTCCAACTGTGCCAACAGAAAGTCTCTCTACCCACGCTACAGGACGTAACCATTTGGTTTCAGATCTTATCCCAGAGCCCTTTGGAGTTGGTAGTGTGTCCCTAGACCCTGAAACACAGCAGTCTGTTAACTATTCCTCTCGTCCATCTCGGCTTTTGTCCAGTGCTACCAGCACTGCTGAGATGCTCCAGCCTGTGAAGATGAAGACAGATAATGCAGGTAATGAAAGTGACTACCTTCTTAATCTCCTGGATCCACTGAAAACAGCAGACTGGCAAAGCAGTGGCCCACAGCAAGGTCTGCAGAGCTCAGCCACTCCACCTTCTGCAGCAGGCTTTGCCTCAGTGGCAGGTGACTTTGTGCCTCCTCCAGCTGCACCATTTGTCCAGCCACTTGGTTATCCTTCCCCAGCACCACTACCTTTTTTACAGCCATCTCCTAATCCATTTACACAGACTCTGCCAGGAGCCCTTTCAGTATCTCTAGTCAGGCCCCCAAGAGGCTCTTTCACCCCCTCTTTAGGTCATGCTTACAGCTCTAGCTTCATAACACCTCATTCTACCTTCTACCCACCACAAAGACCTCAACCACACATTTCCACACTATCCATGCCAAACTTGTTCAGCCAGGCTCCTGCTGTGCCACCAGCCAGCTCCCTGTTGCTGCAGAGCCACAGCCCTTCTCCAGCAGGCTCTCTGCAGCCAGCAGGTTTAAGTGGTCCTTCTAAAACTAGAGCACTGCAGGTGGGCCAGTCCAGCTTAAAGGTAGATCCCAAGCAAGCACTAGCTTTCCTGTCTAATGAACCCCCTTTGATCCCTTCCAGGCCAGCTAAGGGCTTAGAGTCAGTGTTACTGTCCTCGAAATCTGAGGAGACAAAAGATCCATTTGAAGATTTGTTAAAAAAGACAAAGCAAGATGTGTCATCCACACCAGGTAAGGTTGAGCAGCTCAGAAAGCGATGGGAAACCTTTGAGTAACACTCAATGGCCTTTTAATGTCCCTTTGGAATTGACAGAGGGGGTTTTTGTTTTTTTTGAGCCAGCATAAAACTAAGCATTTCTTTTTTGGAAGGCTGAGCCAGGATGGCTGCAGGACCATCACTGTTGTGCAGTTCTCACATGAGTGCTTTTTGCCCCGAGTTCAGGTTCCCCCATTGTCCTGGTCCCTGCAGCTGCTTCCTTACTCTCCACCACTGAAGCCCCTGAGAAGGTGGTTGGGTTTGGGTTGGTTTTCCACAGCTAGCTTTTCAGACAGCACTGCTGATGCAGGAATTCCTCCTTCACTTCTGTTGTCAGTCCTCAGCACAGTGGGCAGTGGGGAGCATGGTCCCCATGTTCCTGCCTGGGATGACCTGCAGGTTTTTGTCACACCCCTACAGCTGTAAAGATTTGGTTCACATGGGAAGTGTAGTCAAGAAACCCAGCCTTGAAAGCTGTGCTGAATTGATCCATTAGGCTCTGAGTTTGTCCTGTCTGGAAACACATTCATTAATTAGGTTATACCTTTGGATGAGCTTTTGTTGCCAATTTTTCATTTCCCTCCCCCAGGATGTTGACACCGAGAGGTAAGAGGGGCTTCTTGGTGCACAATTGTCATCATTCCTTGCTGCAACAAAACCTTAGCACGGGGCAGCTGCCTGGGGTTCGGTCCTGCATCTCTGTCGGGAAACTGGAAACACCAGCAATTTCTTTTCTTTGGGTTTTTGTTGATTTGTTCTTTGTTTAATACAACAGAAAATAGAGGTCATAAAGTGTATCCTAGTTCTTTAATGTGTATGTTAATATTATATATAGTATATAGATGGCAGTATATGAATGGGATGTAACGATATCTTTATTATTATTTTAAAAAAATAAAAACAATTGGATGTTTCTCAGATACTTCTCTGTGGCAATAGTATCCCAAGAAATTTCATCTTAATCTTCAGCATCCCTTATAAACCTGCTGTCATTGCAGTGATCTCTTTTCTGATTTACTTAAGTGGTGCTTTTTTGTTCTGTATTTGGGTACAATCTGATGTAAAACACGTCACTCTAGAACAGGTAATCACCTCACCATTAGGCCTTTGATAAAGAAAATAATTTTGGACAGATGGGAAAAATCTTGCAAAGCTTTATCTGATTTCCAGTGTATCTATTTTATTCATATAACCTTGGAAGTTTTCTTACTCTGATGTATGGGAATGGCTGTCTGTGCGTTTGAGTCTGTGCAATACAAAAGAAAAACAGTCCTAATATCTGAAATGCCAGCAGTTCGGGAAAGGACATCATGTATTTCTGTAAAGTACTGTTACCCTGACAAGCCATTCAGCTGGATTTGTCTTTTTGTGTTGGAAGACAGATGGTTTTAGTATTGCATAGTAAAATATTTAAAGTCTAAGGTAATAGCTCCATTTTTTAAATACAGTTCAGTATATGAATGTCATGTATAAATTCAGACTGGAATTTCAGATCTCCTTTGCTATGAGCTAGATGATAAAACTTCCTCAATTTTGGTGCATGTGTAGAGGCACCAGAAAGTTTTGCATATGACATGCCATTTGGACTTCACATACTCTCTGTTAAAATTTTTAATGTCACATTAGTTAGTTAATGTCACACTGATTATATTCTGAGTAGGCCAATTACACATGCTTAATGAAACAGAAGCTCAGGTAATTTTGTACTGCTGTAAATCGTTTTCCAGCTCTATTTTACTCTGCCCATATTATGGAATGTTTTGTGCAGTTGACTTTTAGACAAGGAAGCAGTCTTGGATTACCTCGTTTTTAAGTAGTTTTTGAGTCTCTGAAAAGTGTTACCACTCAGCACACATGGCATCAATCACCCTTCACTTTATTTTGAAGGAGGTTGAACATACCTCTGAGATCCAGGAGTACAAGGCAGTGCTCTCGTGGAGTTTGTAACCTTTCTCACTTCTGGAATAGAATTTGCAAACAGGAGACTGTTTTACATGCTTCTCATACTAAAGGAATCAAACTATCCCTAGGGCAGTATTTGGTTTTTTTGGTCTTACTTAAACTCAGGAATTCCTGACACGAATCGTTCCTAATACTGCCAGATGTAAACAAAGCCTGTTTGTCTGGAGAGCAGGCTGGGATGTAGAACATTTCTTTTTCTGATCTAGATGTATTTTTGATGTTTTTACTAATCTAGTGTAAGAAGTGTTTCTTTTATTTCTTGTCTATTATTCCTCAGTGACTTTGTGTTGAGCTTTGTACATTTTCCTGTACTCCCTGTAGGTCTTTGCCTGGCACCACTTTGCTGTTCACAGGTACTTCCTTCCTTTGGAAATAATTTTGTTTTTTTTTAAAAAAAACAACCTCTAAACTCTTTAAATTTCTGATGCTGTACAGATGGCAAAACCATTTTTATATTTTGTTCAGTCATTAGGTTAGAAATTGGACACTGGAATTGGAAGCTGTCGAGACACAAGAATGTTGTTGCCTGAGCCCACCTTGCACGGCCCGTTCCTGTGAGCGCTCTGCACAGACCCGGGATGGTTTTTTAACCCGCAGTGAGTGGTCTGAGCTCCTGAGATACTCCCCACACGCTTCTTTATATGTTTTTGGCAAAAAAATTAAGCAGGAGATTGACATCTGGCCAGTTTTGTTTCTGATTAGGGAAGTGGTCAGAGTCTGTCAGTTACAAATGACTGCAAGGTTGGAGCGGAAGTGAATATCCCTGGAGCTCTGGCAAACTACTGGGCCAGTGACCCCTGAAGACAGGCAGGGGTGAGAGCAGCTCAGGGCTGTGGTCACAGGAGTGTTCCACACAGTCTGCAGAAGAGCAGGTCAGTGAACAATGGCTGATGGCTCTACTGTCCTTTTGACTGTGGGATTTATTCTAAATGCCTTGTAATTATTTATTACTTTTTTCCCCAATGTGTTTTGCTCCTTGTACACTTACCTACCATACAGGTTTTATGAGCGAAGTGATTTTTTTTTCCAACATCAGCAGATTAAATTGGTTAGCAGTGAACAAGCAGCCTGTTAGTGGCTGCTTCTTACAACATCCAGGATTGGCATCTCTATATTTTTTTTTACTTTGCTGCTAACTCTTGGAGGTTACCATCTTCAGGTGTTTAAAAAGTGAACCAGTGAAGCCAAGAGCTGCTGCAGAATCTGTCCTGACTCACAGGATCCAGTGGCCATTGGGTGTCGTGGCTCTAACCACAGTCTGATTTTTGCCTCTTTGCTCATAAAGTAAGGGATTAATGGGAAAACACAGCAGCAGATGCATCAATACAGGTGAGCAGAAAATTCAGCAGGTTTTGAGGGCCCCACTCTGCTGTGCAGAGCTGCTTCCTTCAGGTCTGTGCTTAGAGCTCTGGTGTGAAACAAAAAATAATAAAAAGTAAAATTCTAACTGTAAAAGAGGCCACTGAGGTTTGCAGCTGTGCAAACTGTGCTGCAGAGCAAAATCAGCCATCCAGACATTGTCACTTCAGAAAAAAACAAAACAAAACACATCACAAGTCAAGGGAACCAGGTCTCTTTTTACCAAAATTTTAATGTAAATTTCTTTTGAAAGACATTCTAACTTTTTACAAATTATAAAATTTACAATTACAAAAGAAATCAGGATCATGATCATCAGCTACAGCAAATCCAGTTTTGTGAAAAAATATATTCAAAAATTAAATATCAAAAGAAAGTTAAGTTCATTATTAAAAAAACCAAACCCTCTCATAAATTATTTTGCAGAAATGCTCAAGACACTGACAGAGTATTTTAACACTTTTGCTGGTACTGGCTTTGGGTGCTTGAAATAAAAACATCTGCTCTGCTAATGCTGTAAAGCAGCTGAGCAGGAGCCTTCCTGCTGCCTGCCCAGAGCAGTGGGGGATGCAGTCAGAGTCACTACAAGTTGCTGTTTTTTAGATGTTGCTACTGCTATGTGTTTTGTAGCTTCTTGCTGCCTTTCAGGATATTTCAGTAGCTCAGTAATAGTGAGTTCTTACAATACAGTTCTGGGTTTTGTCTCAAAATAACTCAAGCTGGAGTAATACTGGTTCATTTAGTTCCTGTTGCTGCCTTCATTTTTCTACTATTTAAATACAAAAACTGGAGTGGAGCTAAAAAGCCACGAGCTGGATGTTAACCAGGGCTGAGTTTTCAGAAGCACAAAACATTCTTAGCTTGCTGTGGGTTTCTTGCAAGTCATTATGGGTTGAATAAAAATGCATTGGAGTGAAGGCTACACAGCAGAGCTCTGGCAGGACACGGGCAGCTCTCCCAGGAGTCTGGACCAGCCAGTGCTAATGCCCTGGGGTCTGTCAATCCTTTCTCACTAGGAGATGCCCTCACCCTCAGGGACCAACTCAGACCAAGGGGGAAATAGTGTTTCTCCAGCTCGGTGAGTGGGACCTGCCTTGGTTGGAGCTCCTGTGCACAAATGCTGCTGAGCAAACTCCACTCACCTTCTCCCTAAGGGATGCAGGTCAGTTCCACTGCAGTAGTGGAGCTGTTCTGAAAGGGTATCAGACCTTCCTAAAGAGCATCTGGAAAAGCCACAGAGCAAATCATTCACATGAGGAGTACCAGCAGTGTGATGGCCAAGAAGAAAATAGAAGCCCTGGAGATCTCACCAAGCAGAGGGTAGGTCACATCTGTCATTATCAGTACTTTGTCCAGCTCCTCTCCAAACCACAGCCAAGGGGGATCACCAATCCTTCATCTTTCAACTCATCTCATACACACCCTCCTTAATTGTCTGGTCTCCCACTGTGGTTTGTTGTTGTTTTCTGTTTTAAAAACTTTTCATTCTTAACTTGTATCAGCAGCCACATACATGCAGAAGACCTGTTCTTGAGCAGGCAGACCTGAGCATGAGTTTTGCACTCTTCCCTTTGCTTAGAATTACAGAAATAAAAGACCCAAGAGCAAAACAGAACAGTATTTTGTTTTGGTGGTGATAGGCTGTGGTGGGCAGAGTCACACCCTCCTTATTAATAGTATTTTGGAGATGAAAAAGCAGACACTGTTTTCTTAAGTATTTCTCATGGATAGCTGTCATAATTATCTCAAAATGCTAATGATTTTAGACTGCTGAATTTCTTTCCACAGACTGCCACATTATTCTAAAGAAACAGCACACTCAGTATCTAAAGCAGTAACAAAGTAGAAGTAAAGCCACAAAATACTCATTTTTTTTAGGGAAACATGGAAGATGACTGCTGTGTCTCACTACAACACAAACCCTGGTTTCATGTCAAAATTCACCCACTCTTCTGTATTGACAAGCCCAAACCTGTTTGTTGTGAGAGGTGCAGGTCTTGAAATCTCTCCCCCTCCTCACACAAGCAGGTACCACTGGTGGTCCAGCATGAACACTCTTCCTAGGGCCCCATCTGTGGTCCTCTGGGAGGGCAGCCATGGACATGGGCAGGTGGGAACAGCATCTGTGCTGCTCACACAAACCTTTGTGCAAAGGTTGATCCAAGAATAGGATCGGTTTTTCTACATATAAACAGCCTCCTTTCAGGAAAGTTACTACTGTACCTGGCATCTCAGCCTCAAGAAGGCACTTAAATATTCCTGTGGGTTAGTCTAGGCTTAGGAGAAGCTTCAGTAGCAGGGCCTATAGTAGTGCTGGTTAATTTCTGGTACTGTCTTGCCAACTCTGGCCTAGGTATGGAAGGACAGCAGCAGCTCTAGGAAGTAGCTCCCATCAGCCAGTCACCTGTCTTGGCTCTGCAGAGGAGGCACAGGCACATGTTTTTTGAACCATCCACATTATTTCTTAATACAAGGATTTAGTTCCCATTAAACAAACCTGCCTCCCTCTTTGCAGGGTGCTGGTCCTGCCTGACAGGGACCACTGGGGGGGCCACAAGGCTGAGCCCTGCACTGGGCCTGTGCACCCTCCCTCTGCTGCCATGGCCCGGCTTGCTTCCTCTCCTCCACTGCTCCCTCCAGAACTTCTTTTCCCCTCCCAGACGTCTCTGCTCTTGCTGGGAGACTCAATTTATACCAATCTGTTGGGATGAGCTGCAACAACGAAGCTGGTTCAAGCAGCTGACTTACAGCCAAGTAACAACAGGCAGGTGCCTGCAGCCTATGGAGTAGCTTAAAGCAGTACAGACCTGTGCTACAAAAACACATCTCAGGACCTAAGACAGACTCTGCAGCAGTTCCACGACAGGTAAAGGACAACACAGCACCTGTTGCATGACCCCAGCTCTTAGATCAGCCTCTCAGTCGGTGGCATCTTGATGACGTTCCACATTTCCACTCGAGCCCCATCCTTCTCCTGCCGGCTGGGGCTGTACGTTCCCTGAGTCGCTCTCCTCCTCTTCATGGCAATGGCTGTGGCTGCAACAACTGCCAGGAGAAGGGCAGCCCCTGCAGCCCCTGCTGCTCCCACCACGGAGGAGTTGCTAAGATGTGCCCACATGGGGTGCTGCTGCGGTAGAACAGGGTGTTGTTACTCAGAGCTCTCACCTGGGCACTTCTGTAGGTCATGTCCCTGTCCCCAGCACCTTGTCCAGGGAATAGAGAAGCAGTTGGGTGACCCTT